GCCTTTGACAAACCTGCCAGTTACTGGCTGGGAATATTCGGTTGCAGTGTTTATCATTTTGAACTCCCTCCTGTTTCTCTTGATAGCGTGTGGCCAATGCGCCATCTTCCGTGCAATTTCAGAAAAAAGAATACCTAAGGGAGCAGGTAGCTTATGCCGTTCACGGCGTGCAGAAGACATAACAGTTGCCAGACAATTGTCTCTGATAGTTCTGTCTAATTTTCTCTGTTGGTTCCCTGTTGGTCTCATGGGTTTTATGTCTCTTGGTGGCCATAATGTCAGTGATGAGGTGTATGCCTGGACAACGGTGCTCCTTCTTCCCATTAACTCCGCTGTCAACCCAGTTCTGTACACTATTCCTGCCCTTCTGGAAAAGTGGAAAAAGTTCAAATATGGGGAGCAATGGTCAGTTTCTGCATCCGTTTAATTTCCCTGCTGGTACATATTTCAAATCTACATCACCATCCTAATGTGCCACTAACTAGTCACGCAGAGCTCGTAGAGCACTCCTTTATTATGTTCTAGTAAAGTAAAGGTCCTTTTTCCACGCCTTTAGGCGTATAGGGCATTTAGGGCTAGACCTATAGTTTTGAAGGCCAATCGGTACAAGATGGGTTAATTGTCAGCATCACACCGGCCGCCTTTACTTCCTGGGACTGCAACCGGTACGCACTCAAGACTTGGTCGACCTGGGAGTCAAGTTCACTTTTTAAAAAGACCGGCTCCGCTAAGGAGCGAATACCACGACCTTCCGATCCGCACGCGAGCGTCTAGCCGCTACGCCACGGCAAGTCCCTTTATCCTATTTTACGCTGTGCACAATTTTCGATTTAATGGATGGAATCTAGTCCTGTTCTTCTTCTTCTTCTCTTCCACCATTTACCCCACTGAGGTGTTGGGGGAGGTGGGGGGGGGGGGGCGCAGGGGGATGTAACGTTGGTTTGTGCGCTTTTTCCAATGCGTTGTAGAAGTTGGTGTTCATTTCTGTTTGGTTGCCCCTGATGTTGTCGCTTCATCTCTTGCGTAGTCTTCCCCTTGCTCTGTGTTCATTTTATTTTTTTTTTCAGGATGGCTCTCTGCGGCAGTTGGTACCAGTGCATTCTCGTCAGGTGGCCAAACCATCTCATTTGTTCTTTAATGAATTGTATAGCTAGTTTCGGTTCTAGTCTGTCTTTTAATTTCTTTATTCTTGATTTTATCTCTTCTTTTCACACCGGCAGCTCTCCTAAGGCATCTGATCTCTGTTGTTACGATCTTCCGCTGATTTTTTTTGTAGTAAGGGTCGATGTTTGCACTAGTAGCACAATGTCGACCAAAAAACCTTTCTCATAAGATTTGCTTTGGTTGACCAAGGCCATCTTTAGATTTAAAGACTAGATATAGACTGGAGATGGCCGTGGGTTGACCTAGGTATCTTTCTATGCGTCAGACGATGCGGTAATTGTCCCATAACCTGATTTGCTGTCGCACATCATAATGTTGATTTCTTTATCCTTCTTCTGTTTGAGGTTAAAAATGACCCTAGATATCTAAAAATTCGGTTATTTAAATTCGCATTGGGGGTAGGTGGGAGGGGGGGGGGGGGGGGGGTTGTCGAAGCACCAAAAAAAAAAAGGGCAAAGAAGAACCTAAAATGACAACATCAAGTAATGGACAGGAACTTAGTTATCATACACTTATTCATCAAGCAGAAGACAGCGAAAGACGTTGGGTTTTATGTGCTAGTGCTTCCATCAATACAACTCCACGACCCTAACAGGTCAAGGGTTATGTTATGTTGTATTGAAATTCGCTCGCTTGTTTAATTTCTGTGTTACTCCAGTTCAGTAATTTTCGATATTATAGACCCAGTCCAACTTTTGTTCTCTTTAATCATTAATGTCTTGCGGTTTTTCATGGACGCTTTCGTTGCTTCTTTAATCAACCTGACGTGTCAAGTATATAACGCCATCTTCTTTAGTATGTACATGTTGTGACGAAATGTTGTGTAGACTTTACTCTTGTTTCTTTCCTGCGTTAAAGCTACACAATTTCATATTCATCAATTTTCTTATGTATTTGTTTTATGCTACAACATAACCTTCAAAATATATTCCTTCTAATACTACCAATAATGACGAACTGTCCGATCGGGCTGAAAGGTCATACTGTTGGGTTATGGCAAATCCAGCTTTATTAATACACTTCTGTAATTTTCGACTGAATTTTATTTCAAGCAGATCTGATTCAGAAGACAGTACCCGGAACGTTACCTGATACAGCCGATAAAGTTGCTTTCACCCGTTGATCGCAGATATGTGTTTTAGTAGTAAAGGGAGCAATTGATAGAGAGGGAAAGGGACAGACCGACCGACCGACCGAACTTCTTCACTTCTTGATTGATGTTCCCTTCCCACACAGAGTGTTATGCATCCATGTCGATTTGTTTGACCATCATGTGATCGGGAAGCCTACAGATTCTTGAATGTACGTGACTTTGCCGATTTACAAATTACCAAAGTCCTTAGTTCCTCCACAGCTGTGCTAAGCTTTACTGTGAAACGTTCTTTGGAAAGTTTTCCGCTCTTTCATTTGTCAGCCGTTGTGAACTCCTGTTAGGCATAACTTTGAAAACGATTCCAGCATTAACATTAATTTTCTTTGAAGCCTTTGGCGTAGTCATGGAATATTTTGATAAACTCTTTCACAACTCGTTGCGAGTCCGTCCGACTCGTAATTCCAACGTACCGCGATCGAAACGCACTGCTGGCTGCGTGGATTTTTATCATGGTATGGGGCGTCGCAGGTCGACCCAGCCTAAAATGGGTACCAGGATGGCTGTCTTGGGTAGGTAAAGGCGGCCGGCGTAAATGCTGACCACATTACCCACCTAATGCCAATTGGTCTGTAAAAATATGGGCGCTCCTCCCATATGCCCGATGCGCCTAAGCGCGTGAAAATAAATCTTTGCTTTACTTTTTTTTTTCTTTTTGAATTTTAGTTTCATAACTTCTATCGGAATTTTATTTGTCTCCCTATACAACATTCACATACACACACACACTGATTTTAAAAAAATATTTTAAAATGATAATAAAGCAATGAAGATACTAAAAATCCAATTCAAATAAAAATGACATTTTATTTCAATGTTTTCTTCAAACAATAAATATAATACACAAGCAAGTATAATCTTTTCTTTTTTATTTTGACTTGAGAAATAAAGATTTTTTTTGAATTTTTTTTTCCTCTGTATACTTCTACTTTTCTTTCTTTACACACTTTTTTTAAAATTTATTTCCTTTGCCACTTCTATTGTCTGCTCTGCCAATTTGTTTAGCATTTACAAATTTGTGATATTCTAGCTATGTACACAGTTTTATAACATCAATGGTTTCAGCAACAGTAAACTGTTTTAATGTTTATTTTTAAAATGTATACCAATTTAGGTTGTAAAATTTGTATAGTATCAACAGCATACATGCTAGAATATGTTTTACAGATGTTTACCATTGTACAGATGTCTCATGATGATTTTAATGACATATGGTGTAAAACTGTTATGTAAAAAAAATCTTAACATATTATCATATATACTTCATATTGCTTACTTCTGACTGTTTTTAGAATCAAACATATTAATTGGACAGAGTAGTGCAGGATAATGAAATATTTTTCAATTTCTGTTTTATTTTCTTGTATAAAGTAACCAGCCAGTGTACAAAATGCTGCATGCTGATATTGCATTGTTTATGTTGGTAGCGATGATGTTTAAGACTAGGTTTAGGGTGAGTTTTACAGCTGAATGACTTAGAAACATTTGCGGTGAACGATGGATGGGCCGGACTCATCATACTCCTGCTTGGAGATCCACATCTGTTGGAAGGTGGAGAGGGAAGCCAGGATGGAGCCACCGATCCAGACGGAGTATTTACGCTCAGGGGGTGCAATGATCTTGATCTTCATTGTGCTTGGGGCCAGGGAGGTGATTTCCTTCTGCATACGATCAGCAATACCAGGGAACATGGTGGTGCCTCCGGACAAGACGGTGTTGGCATAGAGATCTTTACGGATGTCAACATCGCACTTCATGATGGAGTTGTAGGTGGTTTCATGGATACCAGCAGACTCCATACCCAAGAAGGATGGCTGGAACAGAGATTCGGGACACCTGAAACGCTCGTTACCAATGGTGATTACCTGACCGTCGGGCAACTCGTAGCTCTTCTCAAGGGAGGAAGAAGAAGCGGCTGTGGCCATTTCCTGCTCGAAGTCTAGAGCGACGTAGCAGAGCTTCTCCTTGATATCACGGACAATCTCACGCTCAGCGGTGGTGGTGAATGAGTAGCCTCTCTCAGTGAGGATCTTCATCAGGTAATCTGTAAGATCACGTCCGGCCAAGTCCAGACGAAGGATGGCGTGTGGCAGAGCATAACCTTCATAGATGGGGACAGTGTGGGTAACACCGTCACCAGAGTCCAGCACGATACCTGTGGTACGACCAGATGCATACAGAGACAGCACAGCTTGGATGGCCACATACATGGCTGGGGCATTGAAGGTCTCAAACATAATCTGGGTCATCTTTTCTCTGGAGAAAAAAAAAAAACACACACACACACACATTACTGACTTTGAAATGTTGAGCGTTTTTTGGTAATAACATTTTTTACTTGAACTCACTTTGTTGTTGAAATGTGAAAAAAAAAAAAAAACACACACACACACACAGCTATGTTTGGGTCTAAGGCAGAGCTATTTAGGTGCCAGTATGTTGAAAAGGGCAATCTTCAAGGGCCAGAGTTAGTCGCCGTGGCGGAGCGGCTAGACTCTCGCCGTGGATCGGAAGGTTGTGGGTTTGCTCCCTGGCGGAGCCAGACTTTTTTCAAAAATGACCTTGGCTCCCAGATTGACCCAGCCTTGAGTGGGTACCAGGTGCAGTCTCAGGACGTAAAGGCGGCTGGTGTAATGCTGACCACATCACCTATCGTGTGCCGATTGGTCTATAAAATATATGTCTAGCTCTATATGTCCTATACGCCTAAAGGCGTTTAAAATTGTCCTTTACTTATTTTTCTTTAAGGGCCAGAGACGCAAGCCTCAGCATAGAAAATTTATTCGTACCATACAGTAAAGAACGAGGCCGTGGGCCGCCTGTTGAATAGCCCTCGTCTAAGGTGTGTTAATAAGAAGAGGGAAAATGGAACAAGTTGTCACAACTGGAAAGATCTGTGGAAAAAGAGACGTAGGAAGACTGCATGAAAAGATTCTTGACAGTCTTTTGTCATGGCATGGAGGGGTGTCAACACACGACATGATACATGTAGTTGCAGATCGCAGATTGCGAAGAGGCATGATCGCTCATCCCAGTTGGCAAGGCACTTGATGTTGTAGATGATGAAGGTGTTTTAAGGCAGATAAGTTTTTGAATTGATTAATTAAAGTAAGAACTGAGGCTGAGTGGGCGTATTTAATAACTGTATAGGTAATAAGGAAGTCATAATTTTGAACAATATAGAAAGAAATGAAAGTCCCATAGGAGATACTGCCATTGAGAGGGAAATGTTGAGTCATCATGTATTATAGGCAATGACATACATATGGGGCGTCAAGTTTCCCTTATCACTAATCTCCAAAAACAAATCCCAAATATTATACAAATTACTGTCTGCCCATTCTATAAGGCTGGATTGACCTCACAGCTGATACATCTGTTTGCTTGCTTGCTGTACCCCACCAGGACATCACACAAGCGATAAACACCCGGTGACACAAAGTGCCACCATGCGGAAGCGGAACACCCGTGGAGAGGTCCCAGAAACCCCTTTCATCCGTTATTTCTACAATTGTGGTCCAGTTATATTCAAGGCCCCTAGCAAAAAACCAGAGTGGGGCTTCAAATAACGAAAAAATTGCATCCCACAAGGGGACGGGGGGTATCCACATCTTTTAGCTTCTTATTTTTAATGTATAATAAACAACACTGGATGGTTTCAGTTGCACACAATTTCTTTCAGGATAGCTTTCTCAAAGAGCCACTATTTGGATGAGAATACAACTGATTATATTAGGGCACTTATTTGCTTCATTTATGTAATTGATACTGTAGTATGCACCTGACGAGATACAGCGAAATATGCCACGCAATAAATTCTGCAATCTTTTGTTTGTGTCTTTGTTGATTTCAGATTACCATAAAGACAAATAATTGCAGGTAATAAATATAATAACATAAGGAAAACGTTTCTAACGTAAATATAAATAAACCAAAAAATAAGCAACAAAAAAATAAACAAGGGAGACAATTTTAGGTTTTACAAATACAGCGGAAAGAAAATAATAAAGGTGTTAAAGTTACAAACCTGTTGGCTTTGGGGTTAAGGGGAGCTTCTGTGAGCAGTACTGGGTGTTCCTCAGGGGCAACTCTCAACTCATTGTAGAATGTATGATGCCAGATCTTCTCCATGTCATCCCAGTTTGTGACGATGCCGTGCTCAATGGGGTATTTTAGTGTGAGGATACCTCTCTTGGACTGGGCTTCATCTCCAACGTAGCTGTCTTTCTGACCCATACCGACCATGACACCCTGGGAAAAGCAGAAAAGAATAATACAGTGAGGGTAGATGTATTTACAGGCGCACCACACATATAACGTACAGTTATGTATGTAAGTTTCCACACATACAACAAATAAACATATCATCATCATCATCATCATGTGCCCTGCAAACTAGCGCAGGCGCTCATGCATCTCCACAGATCATGATCCCTGGTTTTAGCACATCCAGCATTGTCTTTATTGGTCTGCCTCTACCCCTTTACCTGCTGATCTTTCCAGTTGTTGCAGTGGTACACATCCTATTTCATTATATTTCGGGCGCTGAGTGGTCTCGAAGCATTGCTTCCGCCTCGAGTGTTGGAGGTCTCCGGTTCAGGTTCCAAAAAAGGTTGGGATTTTTTTCACGAGGACTTCTAGTAATCTCCCCTGGTCTTTAGATAGTAAAATTGGATGCCTGGTGTTTTGTTGCGCACGTTAAAAAATCCATTGGCAGTTGGAAATTTAAAAGAGTAGCCTAACGGCGCTGCCGGTGCAAATTTTGAGTTTAAAAAATCAAACCAAAGTATTTCAGGATTATCGCCGGTGCTACAGAGTTAGTGCACTGCGCTGGGATTCTTCGGCCTCAAGCTTGAGTTAGAAGTAGAACGGAGCACTTACGGGTTACTACCCTTGTGCTGTGATGTTGATCCGTTGGTAAAAGCTAAAACATTAATAAATCACCACCACCATTACAAGCATAACTCCAGCTCTGCTAATACATGTTCTTCAGCAGTAAGGATACAAATCAACATGTTTTTTTTTTTAAATCAATCATAGTCATGTAGATCATATTATATAAATAAAAATGGTTTCTATAAAAAATGTTTATTATCCCAAGAATGGAAACTTATAAGGACACCCTGTATACAGATAATTAATCCAGTTTCGTCCTTTTCAGGACTAAATTTTTTGTCATTTGAAGCCCTACTCTGGCTTTTGCCAGGGGCCGCAATATAGGCAGGCCATAAATATGGCCAAATGTCTGAACGCGGTTTCTGGGACCTCTCCACGGCGATCCTCATCCGCATGGTGGCACTTTGTGTCATCGGGTGTTTATCGCTTGTGTGATGTCCTGGTGGGGTAGAAATTCATTCATTCTTCTGTATACAGATACACTTTAACATTCATTAAAACCATGCTTTCCCCTTGTGGGGTGCAATTTTTTGTTAAGTGAAGCCCCCACCCTGTCTTTTGTCAGGCGCTCTAAACATAGTCGGGCCATAATTATTGCCAACTGGCTAAACGAGGTTTTCGGGACCTCTCCACGGGTGATCCTGATCCACATGGAGGCACTTTGTGTCACCGGGTGTATATCGCTTTGCAAGATGTCCTGATGGGGTACAACTTACATACATTGATTACTAGAATGGAAGAAAAAAAATGTATTTCTTAGTTAGCCATTTCTACGCTATCAAAAACAACGCAAGGCGTTTGCAACGCCTAAACTGCAGAGACAACTTAGAAATGCACTCGAACTTGTTAGGAGCATACCAGTGTTATGTAGCACGCAGTGAATTGACAAAGTTGAATCTCACTAGGACCTCACGCTGACCGATTAAACTCTGTGACACAAGCACAGGGTGTCGTTATTCGGATAAGAACTTCCCCCAGGTACAAATCCCACAAACTCCGTTTAAATGTCAGGTCATATTGGGGCTGCGTTTACAAAGTAGCATGAAGTCCAGACAGAGTCGAGCGATTGAGCAGTAACCCGCAGTTCTGTGTGGGTACCTTGCCTACTTGGTAGTCATGTCTATCCTTTCTGTTTCGTGTACTTTCAATCAACTCTGACACAGATGATCTTCTATGCCATGATGTCAAATTGTCAAGCATCTTTTCTCTCGATCTCCCTCTGTCTCTTCTCAACTCTAACTTTCCTTCTGTCACGCTGTACTCAAGTTTGTTTCTTCTCATCACGTGACCAAAGAATGCAAACACTATCTCAACTCCACATTTTCAGAAAGAAAGAATCGCATTTTTAGACTATCATGTGTGAAATCCATTTTCCGAAAGAAAAAATCGCATTTTCAGACTATCATCTGTGAAATCCATTTTCGAGAGAAAGAATCGCTTTTTCAGACTATCATCTGTGAAATCCATCAGTAATAACGGAAGCAGAGAGAGATAAGGCCGCTGACTTCAGCAGTTCTAGCGCCAAAAGGAAACCCAACGCACGTCCGATTCATGACGTCACCCAGCACCCCCCATCTGGTGCCCTACACTTCCATATATAGCCACGCCAAGATGGCGGCGGAACCGTGAGCAGCGCACGCGCGTTCAGTACCGGGCTTTCCCTGTGGTGGAGGGGACAGTAGAGAAGGAAAAATGCTGGGGAATGAAATGTGCTGACTCATGACTTTGATCAATCTTAATAAGCCTCCTTGCAGATACGAACTTACAGTACAGACTTTACAGCATCCTTTGGGTTGGGGAGTTTGAACAGGGGATGACAGATCCTCCAACAAAGGTTTCTTTGAAATAATACGTTGCTCTGGCCATGTATTCCATAGTTGTGAGTTCAACTGAGTGATAGATCTTGCTAGTGATACGTTGTTTGTCTAGTCTACTTCTTCTTCTTCTTCTTCTTCTTCTTCTTCTTCTTCTTCTTCTTCTTCTTCTTCTTCCTCCTCCTCTTCTTCTTCTTCTTCTTCTTCTTCTTTTCTTCTTCTTCTTCTTCTTCTTCTTCTTCTTCTTCTTCTTCTTCTTCTTCTTCTTCTTCTTCTTCTTCTTCTTCTTCTTCTTCTTCTTCTTCTTCTTTTTCTTCTCCTCCTCCTCCCCCTCCTTCTTATTCTTTTTCTTCTTCTTCTTCTTCTTCTTCTTCTTCTTCTTCTTCTTCTTCTTCTTCTTCTTCTTCTTCTTCTTTTTCTTCTTCTTCTTCTTCTTCTTCTTCTTCTTCTTCTTCTTCTTCTTCTTCTTCTTCTTCTTCTTCTTCTTCTTCTTCTTCTTCTTCTTCTTCTTCTTCTTCTTCTTCTTCTTCTTCTTCTTCTTCTTCTTCTTCTTCTTCTTCTTCTTCTTCTTCTTCTTCTCATAGTAAGTCACAGTCAGGACAGGGAGAGATCTTAGGGACGGGCCCTTCAACATCATATTTCTTTTATAAAAGATGAAAACTATCCCGCATAAATTGTATCAGGTTGAATTAATAACATAGCAGGACAGGGAAAGGTGACGGGGGAAGGGGGAGAGGGGGGGGGGGGTAAGCGTTTGGGTGGGTAGATTCTCATCAATGCTAAGAAATGAATCCAGACAATTTGTGGATTAAGCAAAAAAAACACCCTTATGCCACCACTAGTAGTAGTGGTAATAATTTACACAACAATATCCTGTTTAATCCATAGGGTTGTAATTGGGATATATAGTGTTCATCCAGTTTTCAGAACATATATGCAACGCATAGGCAGCGAAATCAAAATACAGGATGAACTTTTGATCAGACAGCAGGAAGCTAGTAAGGGCGGCTTTTGGAAGACATCATAGTGAGAAAAATCTACCGCACGGGACTGTTGATACATTTCATATTTCCCCCCTTAAATATTATGTTTATTTACAGCTCAGCGTGGACTAAACATGATGATGATTATTATTATCAAAATTAACCCCTCCCCCCCCCCCCCCCCACAATGTTTGCGTCGTGGCGGCGGGCCTTATGATAAGTAAATTTATTTTTATAATGTTTATTTTTTGTGCATATTTCGTTTTGGATATTTCTTCGTCTACTTTCATAGGGGCGGCTCTATGGCTAAGTCGATGAGAACGCTTCGTAATGCCGGGTTCGATCCCAGCTGCGGGCAATGCGCCTTGCGTTGGTTTCGACAGTGGTATCAAGCAAGCCGAGCGTCCAGAAAGCAATGGCAAACTACTCGACATAAATTTGCCTAGAAAAACCACACAAAAGCCAGGGTTGGTTCTGCAACATCCTGTAAAGGATACGCAACTAACCTTTAACCTTTCATGGGAGCATGGTAAATGTAAAGATAAAGTCGGGAGATGTGAACCAGCGTCATTACCCACAGTTATTAACCATAAGTACTTTGCCACCAGTACTATTAGCTGAAAAGAAACTGTCCGCCCGTGTCGTCGTCCGCACGAAACTCCGTAGCTACAGCGACGTTCCTCCATTTAACCCAGAGTGTTAACTCTGGTACCCATTTCCTAGAGGCTGGGTGAACCGGTTCCGAACACCGACCGTGGGAGCATAAGGCTACTGTTACTGCTGTCAGTCAGTGAGTTACTGTGACGAGAGAACGTAAACAATGAGCGCTTAGATTCAGAACATATAGTTCGTCTACAAATGTCGTCTTTGCCCTTCGATTTTACAAATCACTAATGCATTTCAGTGTGTTGTTTTTTCCTGATATCCTGTGGTGCAAAATTATCTCGCGTCCTTGATTAGTTTCTCATTGTATACCTTCTTTCTAAGGACTCATATAGCATCATTACTAATTCTCTCCATTCTCTTATAAATGTCAAGCTAACGAATTTACAAAGTAAACAGGCTTTCCTCAGAATCTGTTAAATAGACTCAGTTCCCTTAAGATGAGTTAAACGTCGGTTGAAAGACTTCACGTACAATTAAGTTAGTGTCATAACTTTTTATCTTTTTTTTTTAAAAAAATAATGAACATTTCCTCTATACAGCTTTTAAGGCACGTTTTCTTTCAAATGATATTAAATAAAAATATGTTTTAATGTGAAAGAAAACTATGACCACATACCTGATGGCGGGGTCTGCCGACGATGGATGGAAAGACAGCCCTTGGAGCATCATCACCAGCAAAACCGGCCTTGCACATACCGGACCCATTGTCCACAACCAAAGCGGCAACCTCTTCGTCACACATGGTGAATGATATTTGTTCTTAGCGGCTTGGGGGAACAAAAATTAACACCGGTGGTAAGTGTACGAAATATCTGGTACGTCTGGAAGTCGCTCACGGCGTTTTATACCGGGTCTAAAGGCAGCCGGCTTTTTCCAAGAAAGCGGGCCTCTTTACACATCCATATTTGGCAGCGGGTTGAATGCGTTAGCTGTCTGGCATGGAACAAGGAAAAGTGAGCGGCGGGGGAGGGAGAGGGTGTTAACTGAAATCCTTAAAGAGTTGGGACGAAACCGAAGATGATCACTGGTCTGTGTTTGTTGTGCAGTGACGGCGCGCTCTGGTTCAAAGTGTGTGTGGTCGAAGGCAGTGGCGTAGGAAAAAGGGTGGAGGGAGGGGGGGGGGGGTGGAGAAGTGCAGGACAGCCATGAGTGTCATCACTAAGGGGTGATGTAGTGACAAAACTGCAAAAATAGGCCATATGTGTTTTTTAAATATTTGTTTATGTATATACATATATGTGTGTATATATATGTATATCTATATATATGTGTGTATATATATATATATATATATATATATATATATATATATATATATATATATATATATGTATCAGACATATATATATATATATGTATCATGTATATATATATATATATATATATATATATATATATATATATATATATATATATATATTTGTGTAAGTTGAAAAGGAACAGGAAATATTCCGCACCGGGTACTACCTGAGTTAGCTACGCCACTGGTCGGAGGCGAGAATAATTAGTGTTGGCAGTAATGTTGGCCTTGAAAATCTGATTATTTCTTCTACAAGACTTGTTTGTTACTTGTGCTGTCGTCTAACGAGAAACACTGACAATAAGCAGAAATGCGGAGAAATAGCTCATGACAATGGGAATGGGGCACCTTAGCCTTGCAGATCAGATTCCTTGAGCGCCTCCGGCCTTTCTCCCCACCCCTACACTACATGACAAAAGAAAAATTAAGCTCCCACCTCCTTCAGACAATTTGTAAGGGAGCTAGGACCACAACCTCCACTGGGCTTTAACAACTTAATTACCCATGTCATGCATCATAAATCAAAATCACTTTAGCAGTATTTATGTGGTGTATCCCGAACTGGTTCATGGGTCCTTTTTGGGGGGTAAGAGAATAGACCCATTCTCCCATAACTGGGTGTTTGCTGCTACTGGATTATCTCCGCCATTGCAGGTCACAGACCGGTTGAGAAAGGAGGAGGGTTGAGCGAAAGACCAGTTCCTCCCCTCTGTAAAAAAAAAAATATTTGCTACATAAACCTGCAGTAAAGGATATCAATCTTTGGACTGAAACATGAATGTGTTTTAATTCCCCTGTTATTTGGTAAAGCTATTCACTGGGCGGGAGCCGCCGTGGTTCAGTGGCAAGTCGCTTGCCTGCGTTTCGAATGGTCGTGGGTTCAGGTCCGGACAAGGACAAATCATTGGTTTTGGGAATCTGATCAAAGACTTTGCAATTAAAAAAAAAAGTAGGAGAAACCTTTTAAATGTAAATAAAGTGGAAGTATTCAAAACTAGAGATTATTTACCCTCTTCCTGTGAGTTTTGTTTTTTAGATTTTTGTCGTCTCACTGATACTAGTTTGTAGCCCAATGTCGTGGTTTTCTGTACTTGTCTCGCGCTTCTCGGGTGGCTTCAGTGATGGATTTGTTAATCTTTTAGAGGTTTCAACTACACCATTTATCCTTCCCTTTCTTTGTCTTGCTGTAGCCTTCCTCCCAGATGTTCTACTGTAAAAAAGTATCATATGCAGTCTGGCCCGGCTGCATTCTCATTAGATGGCCGAACCATTTCATTCTTTGTCTGTAAGTATAATCCAGACATGGTTTATTTCAACTTTCTCTATAATGCTGGTATTTGTAACCCTGTCTCGTCTTAGTGTTGCAGTGACCTTGCGAAGACAGCGCATTTCTCATGTAGTTATTTTATGTCCTAGTGTCCCATTCATTGTCCGTGTGTGGCACTGATAACATAAAGTAAGGCTAAAAATGCTATTAATCATTTGCTTGAAGGGATGCACTTGGGTGTCTAAGCAGTGGGGCTAACTGGTGGGTGACAGCATTTGCCTTCTATACTCTGGCTTCTATCTCTCTATCGAGTTTGCTTTCGTCCGTTCCAAGTCGATAATAGGAAAACCAAACGAACGGAAACATATAAGTACTTGGTGCAAACTTCAACTGCTCCAACATGCTGAGAGAAAAAATACAATCTAGAATACAATCTAGAAATAAAGTATACTATGCCCTCCAACATCTGCTAAAGTCAAAGTGTCTGTCTCGCAACACTAAGATCAAAATATATAAAACTTTGATAAGACCAGTCGTTTTATATGGCTCTGAAACTTGAAGCAGAAATAAAAATAGATGAGGCCTTATTACAGGTTTTCGAAAACAGTCATACGACAAATCTTTGGACCCATCAAAGATGCAAACAGCGGGGAATGGAGAGTGCGAAGCAACAACGTAACACATAATCTGTTTAAATCACCATTGATCACTGGCATCATGAGCGTTAACAGACTAAAATAGTTGGGGCATATTGAAAGAATGTCAGAGGACAGAGAAATAAAAACTCTATACACCTGAGAGAGGAATGGGCGTAGACCACGAGGCAGACAAAAAAAAAAGTTCGAGAGATAATGTCTAGCCAGACCCGCAAACAACTGGTGTCACAAATTGTGAAGATAAGGCCAGCCAGAGAGATGAATAGAGACGAGTGATATCTGCAGCAGTAAACCTCAAGGGCTCAGAATGCTAAAGAAAAAGATGACTACTCTGTGCTACTTTATGTGAAGTAAAAGTTCAGCGTACGTTTGACATTATAAATGTGTTTTTTTAAATAAATTTTTTAGATATATTTTATACACTATTCGTATTCGTATTCGGCCGAATAGTGCAAATCACTATTCGGTACAGCCCTAGTACTTTCTACCCCACCAGGACATCATCACACAAGCTATAAACACCCGATGACACAATGTGCCACCATGCGGGTGAGGATCACCGTGGAGAGGTCCCAGAAACCGCGTTCAGCCTTTACGCCATATTTAGGGCCGGGCTATATTGCGGTACCCGGCAAGAGACAGAGTAGGGCTTCAAAAAAAAAAAAAAAATTTTATCCTAAGAAGGACGGAAAGTATGTTGTTGACTGACTGACTGACTTTCTACCCCACCAGGACATCACACAAGCGATAAACACCCGATGACACAAGTGCCACCATGCGGATGAGGATCACCGTGGAGAGGTCCCAGAACCGCGTTCAGACATTTGGCCATATTTATGGCCTGCCTATATTGCGGCCCCTGGCAAAAGCCAGAGTGGGGCTTCAAATGACAAAAAATTTCGTCCTGAAAGGGACGAAACTGGATATTATATATATTTTAATGCTCGTACTTGTTTGACTGTAGTACTGATAACATTTTTATTTTATGGTTCTTTATTATTTACATTTTGAATTGTGTGTGTGTGTGTGCGCGCGCGCGCATATGTGTGTGTGTGTGGGCACCAACGCCTTTTTAACACATAAGCGCACTGGGCAGTTGCCTGTAGGCTCCACGACCATAGGGCGCATTGCTAATATGTGTATGCGAAATAACCATTTATCTCCCCTGTTGTTTGGCAAAACATTAACTGGGCGATTGGGAAAAAAACACGGTATGTTGGAAACACCGGCATTGACTGGGTGGATAAAATACAGTTGAAAGATCTCAGTTTAGCGGATTACTTTGTTCTGCTAGGTAGAAACAACAACACCGTGCGAAGAAAAACCGATGATTTAGCAAATATGGCACAGTAGTAGTACATTTTACCCTACCGCAATATAGCCCGGCAATAAATATGGTCTAATGGCTGAAAGCGGTTTTAGGGACCTCTCCACGTGTGATCCTCATCCACATGGTGGCACTTTGTGTCCTCGGGTGTTTATCGCGTGTGTGATGTCCTAGTGGGATAAAATGTACTACTACTACTATTAGGTTATAAAATGAAATATATTTAAGATACAAGCAATTCATCAAACAGACGTAACACTAGAGAGAAAAAAAATTACGCCAACAGGTAGTTAAGATTCGTCTCAAAAGTGGACGCATTTTTTTTTAAATTTATTAACTCCACTATGGTCCTAATATAGCCTAACTATTGCAAGGGGTTTCTGGGACCTGTGCCCAGGGGATTTTCATCCGAAAATTGGCACTTTGTGGCACCGGGTATTTATCGCTCGTAGCGCGGTCAAGTTTGTGTCAAGATGGCGGGACGTGTTTCTCTCTAGCTCGGCGCATATCGGTTGATCGACGGTCCGACAAGCTGTCATCGCAAAACCACAAATTGTTAAAGAATCAGATTTCTGACATCAAGACTTCCTTACCAAGCCCTCATTTGGACACCACAGGGGAAAAGATCTCGTGGAAGACCAAGGGAAACCCTACGTAGAACTATCATCAGGGAAGGCTCGCTCATGGGCCACTCAATCATCCAAGACCTACAACGGATTGCAACGAACCGTCATGCATGGAGAGTCATGACCTCTGCCCTATGTGCCGCACTCGACACAAGAGGAAAGACTAACTAACTAACTAAGCGCGGTCATGGTGGATTAAACTTTTTCATTCATTTACTTAATAGATCAGCTCACTTATTTAGATAGCACTGTTGATAGCGGAGGAAATCTAGAGGAAGAAATTACGACACACACTGGCAAGGCTCCTGCAGCTTTTAAAATCTGAACAACATATGGAACTCTGGAATAGATTTAAAACCAAATTACGTATTTAGTTTCAACATATGCCAGGGAGTTGGAAACTCGCTAAAAACATAGACCAAAATTTGGGAAATATATGTCCGAGGAAAATTATGAGAATAAAATGGGATGCATTCTGCTTCTTCTTCCTTGTGATCACCACCTGTAAACTCTGGCGGAAAGTTTTGGTTATTCATCCACTTTTGGACTGCAGTCCTGTTCCAGAA